AACAAGAATATGATATGAAACATGATAGAAAAAAAAATGATCAAATTATAAATTTTAAGAGTTCGAGAATTCATTGATCTTCTTCATCAGCGGTTTTTCCTATGTCAATAGAGCTAGATGTGAATCGAGTGATCTTATTCGAAGACGGGTCTTTTCTTTTCTTCTCCCTTCTTTTGTTCGAATATAACACTGTGAGATCTCATATTAGTTGGAGAGAAGAACGAAATATTCCTTATAAAGGTGTGAAAACATCTCTCTAGTGGACGTGTTTTAAAATCTTCGGGGAAGCACGAAAAAAAAAGCCCAAAGAGGACAATATCGGCTAGGAGTGGCCTTGGGCCATTACAAATGGTATTAGAGTGAAACACCGGGCAGTGTGCCAACGAGGACGTTGGAGTCCCCAAGAGGGCTGTATTGTGAGATCTCACATCGATTGGAGAGGGGAATGAAACATTCCTTCATTCCTTATAAGAGTGGGAAATTCTCTCCCCTAGTGGATGCATTTTAAAATCTTGAGGGGAAACCCGAAAGCGAAAGTTCAAAGAGGACAATATCTGGTAGCGGTGGCTTTGGGCCGTTACAAATGGTATCAAAGCGAAACATTCGGTGGTGTGCTAGCGAAAACGTTGGGTCCCCAAGGGGGTGGATTGTGAGATCCCACATCGGTTAGAGATGGAAACTTTTTCACAGTGGACACGTTTTAAAATTTTGAGGGAAATATGAAAGAGAAAGCCCAAAAAAACAATATCTGGTAGCTGTGGCGTTGAGTCATTACAAACACGAAAATTACAGAATTCGATGAATTCTTTAAGAGTTCAAAGTAGGATTGATATAGCAATTTCTGAAACTATTTTTTGGTAATGTTGTCATTGTGTAGCATTGTTGGTGGAGGCATCGTGATTATGGGGCTGTATATGCTGTTATGGGGCAAAGAATCTGATGAGTTCGAGCTTCAAAATAAGTCACAATTGGAATCTGATTCAGTGCATGAAACTTTCCAGCAACCTGATCTGCAAATTGGTGCATCACCACCCACCAACCATGTTCTACAACATCAACCTTAGTGCCTATCAAATTAGTGGGTATTTTAATATGACTCGACCTATAATAAATGAAATATCAGGTTTGAATCTCTAACCTTTAACCAACGAGTAGACTTTCACTTTCGTTTCGTCTAGTGTATAGTATACACGGGTATTTTTGAAATAACATTTGAAATAGATATAAAATAATTTTTATTGAATTTTTAGTTTTAAGAAGTGTTTAATTTGTTACGAAAATTATGAATATTTGACTTTTGATACCAACCTCAGTAATATGTTGTGATTTGTGAATGTTTGATATTTAAGTTTTACGAGTTTAGTTATTAATGTAAAATGTATTATAGATAAGTAAGATATTTCAAAAATAATTTAAAAAACGAACAACCCAACCAAGTCTGAAAATAGTGAGTCAAGTTGTGAGAAGAGATATCCACACGTTTTTCACAAGAATTTTTTCCCGTTTATTATTATTTTAAAGTTCATTTTTTTAATATAATATTTATTAAAAAAAATATTCTCGACCTTATATTTGCAAAATATATTAAAATAGTGTAAAAATATAGATAATATTCTAGTAAATTATTATTTTATTAACCTATATTTAAGGAGAGAATATAAATTTCCTCCAAAATCAAACAAATATCAACTATATGTTATAACCTAAGTTACATTACGATATTAAAAAATACAAATATGAAAAATTAACAAAAAAAAAAAAAAAAAAAAAAAAAAAAAAAAAAAAAAAAA